AGAAAAGACACTAATGAGTCTGGCTGGGTGGCTATGTGGGGAGCATCATCCTGTACACCATAAAGTTGTGGGTTCGATTCCCAGTCATATACTTGGGTCGCAGGCTCGATCCCTGGTCAGGGTGCATAGGGGAGGCAACCGATCGATGAAGAGGAAAAAAAGCAGTGAGGAGCAATGCACCATAAATTATAATTTCTATCTATAGCTCTATCTATTTATAACATCAATGTAAATGCTAGATAAGGACTCTTGGAACGGATGGGACACCCTGTAAGGGGAATTCTAATAAGTATTAAATTATCTCAATGGAACCCTGGAATCAGCTGGTGAGTAGAAGGGGAAGGTAAGTGTTCCAGGACCTAAGGTAGGGAGGATGAGAGAAGGTGGGGGAAGGGTAGTGAAAGTAATTTAAGACCATGTATATTAGGGTGGGGAGGAAGTAGAAGATAAATAGAGCATGGTGGAAATTGTAGTTGTTCTGTGAAAGTGTACATTTCACATACTAGAAGAGTCATGTGTCTAAGAGAACAGGGCGAAGGATGGTGACTATTAACAGAATGACAAACTACAAATTAACAAGGGGGGACATGGGATGAATAGCTATTATTCAGCCCAGCAAAAGAAGAGTTCAGAACAATGTTTAAATTTTTAAAATATATATATTTTATTGATTTTTTTACAGAGAGGAAGGGAGAAGGATAGAGAGCTAGAAACATCAATGAGAGAGAAACATCAACCAGCTGCCTCCTGCACACCCCCCACCAGGGATATGCCCACAATCAAGGTACGTGCCCTTGACCGGAATCGAACCTGGGACCTTTGGGTCCAGGCCACGCTCTGTCCACTGAACCAAACCAGTTTCGGCAAAAATTTTTAAACCAACTACGATGGAAATCATAAATCAAATACATCATTCATTACAATAAATATGTGTGGGCTGAATTCTTCCATTTCCATTAAAATGTTGTCAGATGTTGTTATTAATCAAATTATGGTCCATATTACTTTAAAGAAAGATATTTAAAAAGTGATAAAGATGCAAAATAAGGGTGTGGTAAAGATACACCAGGCAGAAAACAGTGCTGATACTGACATCCAACCAGGGCGGGTGAAAAGTGGTGTGAGGACCGCCTGCCAAGAAGTGGGCAGGAGCCTCAGGGCGATGGCCACTTTTTGTGTGGGAGAGACATATGTAATACTTTCAACAAAAAAGATTAAAAACCCCACAAAGGCTCATTTGATCAGATTGGGCTCACCGGAAAAGACAGGATGGTCTCCCCGTCTAAAGGCTCTTCCTGAAGCAAACTGCCTTCTGTCTGGTGAAGCAACACATTCACAGGTCCCGGGATTGGAGTGTGAACACTTTGGAGAGGCTGTTGTTCTGCCCCCCGCCCCCCCATGCCTGATCCATAGCCTGGGCGTCTCGGAGCCAGTGGGGTAAGGCAATGAGACAGAGATAACGTGACTTCAGGGTGTCGAGAGCTTCTCTGACTTCCTGGTGTTGGCTGCACTTCACCAAAGTGGATCCCTTTACCCAGCGAATTCTTTCCCGATGCCCTCACAGCTGGCTCCCTCCTCTTGTCACCTTAGCAACCCATTCCCCGCGATAAGCAGCAGAGGTCAGGAGAAGGCAAGGAACGGGCTTCGGTGTTTGTCCTCTGGGGCGGCAGACGGTATTATGGTCCGGGAAAAGCGGTCCAGCACTGGCCCCTCAGCTCTTAAAAGGCCCAGGTGCTGCTGACATGCTGGCAGGGGAGGTGCAGCTCAGATGTTCTTCCTGGTGTCTAGTTTTTTTTTGTTCGTTTGTTTTTTTAAATATATTTTATTGATTTTACACAGAGAGGAACTGAGAGGGACAGAGAGTTAGAAACATCGATGAGAGAGAATCATCGATCAGCTGCCTCTTGCACACCCCCTACCGGGGATGTGCCTGCATCCAAGGTACATGCCCTTGACCGGAATCGAACCCGAGACCTTTCAGTCCGCAGGCCGACGCTCTATCCACTGAGCCAAACCGGTCCCGGCTGGTGTCCAGTTTTGAAAAGGTAATGAGTGTCATTACTGCAGAGACCACGTAGGCAAAGAGAAGGATCTTGATCTCATCCCTATTCACAACAGAAGGCCACCAAACAGTCCCGGATGGAGGGGAACGCAGACTGCCATAAGGAGATATAACCATCGCCAACAGAGCAGAAGAGGAGAGGGACCTAGGCCAAGCCCACCTATGACAGCCAGGCCGCGGTGGGTGTGCTGTTTGGTACATCCTGGTTCCACCGGGCACTCCCCTTCCTGAGCCCCTCCAAGGGCTAAGTTAGGCAGCATGTCCACTGATCCTTTTTTATTAAGTATATTTTTTCCCACCATCCAGAACTGAAATATCATCACTGACATGTACACATAAGGAACTGTTTGACATTGAAATTGGGTCTCAAAAGAACGGGTGGTCCAGAGAGAAACTCACCACAGACTGATTCATATGCCTTTCAACATAACAATTATTGCTTGTCTCATTTTTGATTCTTATAAGTATATTTCCAGTAGGACAAGACCTCACTTATCTAGGGGAAATGGTGAACAACATAGACTGATGAACAAGAACAGACCCAGAGATAAGGAGTCATGGGTCAGACTGGTAGACCTCAAAGTGGAGATAAAAGGGAGAGATCAACCAAAGGACTTATGTGCATACATATGGGCCTAACAAGTGGTCAAGGACAATAGGGGGGTAGGAGCATGAGTGGGTGGGGGACTGGGGGGTTGGAATGGGGGGTTGAGGACAAATATGTGATACCTTAATCAATAAAGAAAAATTTAAAAAGTATATTTTTATTGATTTTAGAGAGGATGAGGGAGAGGTAGAAACATCAATAAGAGAGAATCATTGATTGGCTGCCTCTTACTCGCCCCCTAGTGGCAAGCGAGCCTGCAACCCGGGCATGTGCCCTTGACCAGAATGGAACCCGAGACCCCTCAGTCCCCAGGACCCTTCAAAGGTGCCCAGAATGACACTCTATCCACGGAGTCAAACTGGCCAGGGCCACATTGATTCTTTTTCAAGCGCGAGCTGGAATCTCGGTTTTGGCATTTTACCGGGCATCCAAGCCATGTTCACTTGAGTTTGGTTCTGAAAACTGGAACACTATCTGTAGTGTATAGCATTTCTGCAAGTGTCTCCGCCATTGGTTTATACACACACGCTGCCCCCCGTTCACCACAGACACAGTCCCCCACGGCACCCTCCCACACGCTGCCCCCACCTCCGCTCACCACAGACACAGTCTCCCGACGATGACACCCTCCCACCGCTGCGGCCAGCTGCGCTGCCCTCCCACTCACTCTCACACCCTCCCCGGGGAGTCACCAGCACCCGCTGTCTGCCATCTGAGGGAGGCCCCGTGGGTGTCGGGGGAGGGCACGGGGTTGTTGGAAACTTTAATCAAGCAAGGACAGTTAACAGCTGCAGAGACACCTTAGGAAACGGTGAGCCTTACGAAGGAAACACTTGTCCCCACGACCTCTTAAGACTTTTCTGAAAACTCCCTGCCGTGGAACAAAATAACAGCTCGCACAGGCGCCCGTTAGCCCACAGAATCCTCCGTGCTCCATCCTCCGGCCGGCTTAGATGCTCTCGTCACGCACAGACATCCCTGAGAGACCACCGAGAGCCAGGGTTGTGGTGCCTGCTCTCTCTCTCTCTCTCTCTCTCTCTCTCTCTCTCTCTCTCTCTCTCTCTCACACACACACACACACACACACACACACACCGGCCTCAGCGGCAGTGTCTGGCAGGCGGGGTGCCGCAGGGAGAGCCCCCACAGACCCACAGGCCGCCCCGCCTCCTCCACACACCACTGATCGCACACAGGCCGTTAGCACGTGGTGAGGAGCTCACCTTCCCCTTTCCTCCCGCAGGTGCGGGGGTGTTTCTGAGGGAACGGATGCCACCCACTAGGGCTGGGTTTCCCCCACCCATACCCTGTCTTGTCCCAGCTTTTTCCCGCCCCCATAACCATGCGCTTTGGGGGTCACAGTCTAACTCACCACCGAAAAAGAGAATCAGCGAGCCCATTTGAACCATTGCTCACCAGCCGCCTCCTGCTTCCCCTCTTCCATCAGGCCCAGGTCTTCCCCTTTTTTCTCGAGGATGGGTGTTGGAACAGTTCCCTTATGAAGGGACAATGTTGGGGCTTTTTAAAGGAAGATGTTACTAGTAAAGTAAGAAAGAAACCAAAATCAAGCCAAGAAAAATCAAAACCTCACCGGCCCAGAGTCTGCACCCAGCTCTGCTTCTTTCCTTGGCCTCCCGTTGTCAGCCCTCCGGACCCAGGCACCTCCTCTGCTGTCTGCCCCCTGGCCCCCCACAGGGTGCATGAGTGGTTAGTGCTGCAGGCTTTTCCAGGGCTGCACTAGGTGGGGTTGCCCTCATCCTCACCCCAGCCCAGGCCGAGCTCAGAGCCCTTGCCTCAGGGACAGCTGGCTGGATCCAGCTCAGATGCTGGGACACAGGAGATGCCATGAGCCCAGCAGGGGGCAGGAGGGGACGGACCCAGAAGGGGCTGACTTGACACAGGTGTGATCAGCAGAGCAACAAGGGGGGAAGGGGTCAACAAAGACTGTGGGGCCTGGGGTGTCAGAGAGGGGAAAGTGTGGTCCGAGTCTCTGCATCCTCCAAAGACTGCCGCTCCCAGGAAGGGCTCTGGGAGGGACCCTCGGCAGCTCTGTGGACCCCCAGCGGGACGGGAGCTGGGTCCGCCCTGGGAGTCCCCAAACTGATGGGGAGATGAGTCCCCCACATCAGAGACTCCTTTCCGGGAACCCATACCTCCTGGGAGCCCCAGGATGAGAGCTAGGGCTCCATACGACAGCCCCCAGTCTGATGGGGAGGATGAAGCCCGGCCTGGAGCCATGGCTGGGGAGAGCCTCGGGGTCAGTGGGCAGAAAGGACTCTGACCACACAGAGAAAGCCTGTGGACCGGGCAGCCAGGAGAGGAGCAGGGGGCACGGCCGGGGAGTGGCTGGAGGAAGGCCATTCGGAGCTCTGCACTGCCTACTGGGCCTGGGCTCGGTGAAGGTGGAACAGAGAGAGAGGGTGCGGGGCAGGCCTGAGTGAGCAGTGGTCCTGTGGCTGCCCCAGCCCCGGCCCCGTGCTCTGGGCCTCAGTCTCCCCTCCCCTACCCTCTGGCCAGCGCTCAGGACGCAGCCTGCTTCACTGAGCCCATCTGTCTGAGACGCGCTCACATCTTCCTCTTTTGTGACTAGAAGTCACAGGGCGACGCACTAAGCCGTACAGTCGCGGAGGAACCGCAGAGCCTAAGAGTGTGAAAGGGCAGAGGGGAGAGTGACAAGAGAAGGGGAGAAGTGAGACGGTGGGGCAGAGGTGCCCTGGACCATGGCCGAGTCGGTCACCTACGCGGACCTGCGGTTTGTGAAGGCGCCCCTGAAGAAGAGGGTGTCCAGCCCGCTGGGACAGGGTAAGGGCAGGGGAGGGGGTGCAGAATCCAGGAGACCCCACCCTACCCCCCTCTCAGACCCCATGCCCCACTCCCACCTCGGCCCCCTTTCTCTCCTCTGCAGACCCCGAGGCTGACGACGACGGGGAGCTCACCTATGAGAACGTGCAAGTGCCCACCATCTCAGGGGGGGCCTCCAGCTTGGCCGCCTCTGGGCCAGGGGACAAGGCCGGTAAGGAGAGCCCAGGGGAGGGGGTTTAGGGGCGCTGGGTCTTGAGCTGGGGAGTCCAGAGCAGTACTGGAGGACAATATCCTTGGGAAAAGGAGGGGGTTCCCAGGAAAGAGGAGAAGGAGCCCCGGATGGAAGGCAGCCAGGGGAAGGCGGAGGCCCTGGGGGGCGGGTAGGGCGCAGGGCAGCCCCGCGGGGAGAGGGGTCCCCAGGGGAAATGGGGAGTGGGGCCGGGAGGTGGGTAGGGGGCAGGGCTGAGAGCAGTCCTGGGAGAGGGGTGGGGAGGGTCTGGACGTGGGGAGGGTCCTGGGAAGACGGGGGAGGCTCGGACCGGCGGAGAGAGTCCGGGAGCCGGGAACTCGGAGGGCGCGGACGGGAGGCGAAGGGGCAGCTCCGGGCGCGGGGACACGGGGCTCTGCGCGGGGGAGGGAGCGGGCGGGGGGCGGAGGGGCATGTCCGGGCCCCCGCCTCCTAACGGGACCCGCTCGCCGCGCAGGGGTGCAGGCGGAGCCGCCCGCCGCGGCCTGGAGCTCCGTGACGTCCCCCGCAGCCTGGCGGCTCCTGGGCGGTGAGCGCCCTCCTCCCTCCTCCTCCCCGGGGCGGGGCTCGGGGCTCGGCGGCCTCGCCCACCGCGCGGATCGCCAGGCCCCGCTGGGCTAGATTGCGGGGGTGGGGTGCTGGCGCCCGGGTGCGGGCCGGGGGGGGGGGGGGGTTGGGGGGTAGGGGCGAAGGAGGGAAAAGCGCGCCAGCACCCCATCCCGGGCAGCCCCGCGACCCCCTCCCCTGCCCCTTTCACCCCATCTTTCTGAGGCGCCCACCCAGATCCTCTCCTCACTCCACGCCTAGGATGGTCCCCATTCCCTTACGCTCTGCTCCGTCTGGGCCCGGGTTTAGGGCTCCTGCCAGGGGCGCCTCCGTCCTCCCCACCGGTACCGTCTTCCCGCGCTTTTCCCAAAACAACCCCCGCCCCCCGGTTTGTAAACTCGTTCCTGGGGCTCACTGCGCCCCGGGCCACACTGTCCCACAGGCCACTCCACCTGCTCCAAATACCTCCTCCTGGGCCTGCTCCTCACCTGCCTGCTGCTGGGGATGGCTGCCATCTCCCTGGGAGTGCGCTGTGAGTACGGCTCTCACCTCCCCCTCCCCAGACACCCCTTCCCCTGTGCCCCCCAACAGCTGCCCTCCCTCAGCAGGGACCGGAGTTACGGCCACCGCGTCCTAGGCTTTGGGTCTGGTGTCCAGCCTGGTCTTGCTCACCTGGTCCAGTCACTCCTTAAACTCCAGGCAGCCAGAGCTTACATTTCCCAGAAAGTTGCCAGCAACAGGGAAGGGATTGGCGCTGCTGGACCGCAGGGCACCAGGGCGGGCCGAGGAAGATGCCACCCGGATCTCTCTTTCTGGCCAAACAGATCTGCAGGTGTCTCAGCAGCTCCAGCGCACCCACAGGGCCCTGGAAGCCACCAACAGCAGCCTGCGGCAGCAGCTGCTCCAGAAGAGCTCGCAGCTGGGCCAGCGGGAGCGGGAACTGCAGGGCGCCCGGAGGGAGCTGGCCCAGACGCAGGAGGCGCTGCAGGTGGAGCAGCGGGACTGCCAGGCTATCAAGGAGCAGTCACAGGCCTGCCTGACCAGCTGGGAGGAGACAAAGGAGACCTTGACAAGTCAGCAGACGCAGAAGATAGAGCTGGAGGAGAAGGTGAACCGGTTGCAGGAGAAGCTGAGGCCCCTCTGCCTGCCCGAAATGCCGGAAATGCGGAGTCCCAACTTGGACCACCACCACCCCCCGCATCAAGGTACCTGCCCTGGGAGAGGGGAGGGGGGAGGGTCTGCGGTGAGGGATGGAGATGACGTGCATACACCCCAGCCCCATTTTATTTTTTACCTTCTGAATCTCTGTGACCCCCAGTTCCATGCCACGTTGCCTACCACTCCCACAGCTGCACCTGAGCTCAGCACCCCAAACTGCTCTTCTGCTGAGAGGACGGTCTCAGACCTCCGCTCTGACCACTGCCGCCTGCTCCAGGCTCCCCCGCACTTCTTCAGCCTCACTGCGTTCTCCGCTGATGGAGAACCCTGCCTCCCCTTTCCTGGCAGCCCTCACCTGTCCTCACCTCTCTCTGCCCCTCTTGCATTCAAGGGTCCCTGTCTCTCCGATCACTCACTCCTTTGTTCCACTGTCCTGGTGCGCCTGACTGGCCATACCTCAACTCCAGATGAACTCCACTGCCCACCTTGCCCGTGCGCTTGGTGCCCTTGAAACTCTAGTTTCAACCTCAGCTGGGGCCTCAGCACTGCCTGGCATCTCTGCAGCGGTCGCCTTGCTCTGCACGAGAACTTACCCTACTACCCATTCCCGCTTTCAGCAGAAGCCTGTTTCCTTAGAGAGGAACGCCCTCCGTTTCCACCACCCAGTCTACATGTCCGCTGACATTTCTGCCCACCCCCATCTCTTGCAAGGATAACTGCAACAGCTTGCTGGATGTTTTCCCTAAACATCCCCCTACACCCCCGTTCCACTCTTCATATTGCAGCCTGGGTAATCCTTTAAAAACAAACACCTGAGCATATCATCCCAGTTATTAATAATTAATTAATCAAAGGTTATGGAATACATACTATCTGTCCAGCTCTGTGCCCAGGCATTGGGATACAGGCAGCGAGCAAAATTCCTGTATGTAAAACCCCACACTGACCTTCTCTTCCTTGGAATTAAAAAAAAAAAAAATCCCTTAACATGGCTTTCAAAGCCCCTGCCTACCTTTCAGCATACCACTTCTCCCCTCACCCTCTTCAGTTTGACCAGACCAACTTTTTTTTTTTTTAAATTTATTCCTTTAAATTATTGATATACTAGGGAAGAGGGAAGGTGAGGTGGAGAAAGGTGTATGGGGGATAAATGATGGTGGGAAAAATAATTAAAAAATAAATTAGTGATTTACAAAGGGCAGTCTGGTGGTGGGGCAAAGACTATAATGCCGGAGGGTAGTTGAGTGGGCACATGAGGAAATGTAGACAGAAGAGAAGGAGCTAGTGGAGAAGGAAAGTTTTTGAGTGACAGGGTAGTACTAATGGAACAAAGCAAGGAGAGAGGTGGGTTGGGCTCAGGAGCACAGATTGAGGGGTAGGGTGTTAAAGAAAGTGGGTTGTTTATTTCTTATGGATGGTCAGGAAAAGAGGAAGAGAGAAGAGATACTTTTTGAGTGGAGGGAAGGGAAATGGAGAGAGTTCACATCAAGTGTCCGACAATTTCAGCAAAATGGGAACCAAGGCTGTCTACTTGTGCAAGAGTGGAGGGCAGGAGGTTGGCTGGCAGCTTGAGGTGTGTCTGGGAATGGTACCGCTAGCCCTATTAAACCTCCCGAGCCAAAACTGGTTTGGCTCAATGGATAGAGCGTCGGCTTGGGGACTAAAAGGTCCCGGGTTCGATTCCAGTCAAGGGCATGTACCTTGGTTTCGGGCATATCCCCAGTAGGAGGTGTGCAAGAGGCAGCTGTACCTTGGCATCAGAGTGAGCTCTCTCATCGATGATTTCTAATCGATTCTCTCTCTCCCTTCCTCTCTGTACAAAATCAATAAAATATATTAAAAAAATAAAATAAACCTCCCAGGTTGTTGGGTGTAAAGCTGTTGAACGTTAAGGCTTTTACTAAGTATGTGCAAGTTTGGCATTTCCAGAAAGGCTGCAAAGATCAATGACTAGAAGTCAATGAAGGGGCTGAGAGGAGACTGGAGACCACTGTTAGCAACTAGGTTGCTGAGCAACACTTTCATTCCAAGTGCTGAGATCTCCCTCTGGGTCTATGCTGTGCTGTCACACTCTTTCTGTGTTTTTTTTGTTTTGTTTTAGAAATCTGCTGTCCCCTGGGATGGATACTGATGGCGACGAATTGCTTTTACATCTCACTTATTAAAAGAAGTTGGGAAGACAGCCAAAGCTATTGTAAATCTCTGTCCTCCAACCTCGCAGTGGTCACTGAGTATTATTATTCAGTAAGCATACCTTTATTTACAGACAGCCATGGGTACTATTAGGTAAAGGCCCGTATGCCATCCATCAGGAATGGCAGTACACAATGGCATGCTTCCTGTGGCATGCAGTCCTCTGTGCAGCTTCTCAGCACAGTGCTTCAGGCAGCCCCAAGGATTGGAGTTGGCATGAGAGTTGACTTATGAGCTATCTTTACTTTTACCTGTTTCTCATTTCAGCTTTCTGTTCAGTGTTCTGGGCTGCCTAACAAAGCATTTGACTGTCGTGACCCCGCAGGCAGAGGCCCCAGACCTGGTGGGCTGGATTGTAGGGACTGTTTCCTTGTGACCATAGCAGCCCCCAGAATGACTCCCTTTCACAGGTGGCAGAAGTTCTTACCCAGCTGGGAGGGGCACTGCAGGGTGAGGCTGCATCTGCAGGGTGGCACTTGGAGGATGCAGGGGAAGGTCACCAAAGATGGGCAGTTCTCTTGTCAAAGCTCCTGGATTGCCCTAGCTGGTTTGGCTCAGTGGATAGAGCCTCGGCCTGCCGACTGAAGGGTCCCAGGTTCGATTCCAGTCAAGGGCACCTGCTTGGGTTGTGGGCTCAATCCCCAGTAGGAGCAGCCAATCAATTATTCTCTCATCATTGATGTTTCTCTCTCTCCCCCTCTTCCTCCCTCTTTGAAACCAATATATATATATAAGCTCCTGGGTTTCCCTATTTATCTTCTTCCATCAGCCCAGGTTCCCTCTTTTACCTCTCCCCCCATTCCACTATTTCTCATGACTCTCCACACATCTCTGAATCTCCCCTCAGGGTTTCTATGGCAGCAGCTTATATAAGGTGTTGGAACAAATTGATTCGTCTGGTTCATATTGGATTGACTACAGGTTGAAGGACGGGGACAGGATTGATGGTAAAAAAACCTCTTGGTAAGTTTGTTAGGACTTTGGGGATCTTCAACTTTATAATCCCTTCAAACAGACATAGTACTGAGATCTCCCTTCAGGTCCGCTCCCAAACCTTTCACAAATCAATATTGAAATTGCTTGCCTGTCAACTAATTTCCTCTATTACAAACTCTTTAGGGCATTCTGTTCTTTATTCTACCCCCCGAGAGCAGACTTGGCACGCACTTTATTTTTAATTACTAGACTGGGACCCATGTCATTTCTCTCTCAGAAGCTAGGGCTTCACAGCTGAAGATCCTTGGCATTCTCACTCCCTTGAAAAGGCTACCAAACGGAGGTGTACTTTCTGTCAGGACCACTAGGGGCACTAGAGTTGCTCCAGGGGAGTAAAGGGGCAGAGAGGTAACTTTGAGGACCAACCCCAGGGACCCTGAAACAGTATGGCCACCTGTTCCCTAACTGGAATTTCCATCCTTTAAGACCGTGGGTGATTTTCCCCTCCCCTGGTCCTAAAGGCTCTTTGGGTTGGAGTCCAGACATCTGTCCCTGACCCACACCCAAATGTGGCCCTAGGTAGGTAGGGTGAGTTGGGACTTGGGCTAAGTTTTATGCAGGGCAAGGGGAGAGGAGGGAGCAGAAGGTTGGGGTCCAGAGCCTATCCCAATTCTATTTTATCTTAAGGTTTCATGGTCAAAACAAAAAATGTCCCTCTGTACAAAACAAGTGGCCAAAATATTCACCCCAGACAGAGTGTTCTACTTCTCTTCCCTGCATCTGTGAGATGGCATCTATCAGGCGTTCAGAGTACCACTGAGCTGAGTAAGTGTGAGGGCTGGGAGGCCAGGGGCTCAGAGCAGGGGTCCAGCTGCTGGGGTGGGGGGTGGGGCATGTGTTCCTGGGAGTGAGTCCCGTCCACAGCCTCCGGGAGCTTGGCATACTGTGTAAGGGGTGCTGCACAGGGAGGGGCGGGGAAGGCCTGGAACTGAAGGGAGGCTGGTGATGGGAGCTGGATGAGGGTTCTTGGTGACAGTCAACAGTGGAGTTCATTGGTATTTTACTCTTCCAGATCCTCATGCCAACAAGAGCCTGTGCCCTTCATCCCTAACCTGCAGCCACAGGTCCTATGATTCTTTCTGCAGCATTTCCTCCCTCTGCCTGGACAGTGCCCGGCCAACGGCTTGTCTATGCCCAGCATCCTAGGCAGCCTGCCGCCTGCTTGAAGTCCTGCCCCAGAAGCCGGACTATTCCTGGGAAAAGGGTACAGAAAAGACTTTGGCCTCCAAGAACCTCCCGTAGTGGAGTGGGGGCTGAGGGGAGGAGGGCGCACGGGCTGAGCGGATAGGGGCAGCCCGGAGCCAGCCAGGCAGTTTTATTGAAATATTTTTAAATAATTTGCACGTGTTAGTCTCGAGTGTCAGCAATGCTGTGTGATCCCCGTGGGACTGCAAGCCCAGGGTGGAGAGGAAATGTTCTGTCCCTTGAGTCCATGCTGAGGTTCCCTTATACGAAGCAGCTGGTCAGCCCATCAGGGGCTGGCACTGTCGAGCATGTGCAGTCCTCACAGGGCATCCTGAAGGCCGAAGCTGGAGGCCCCACTGCTAAGAGCGTGCCCCAGGCAGCTGAAGGCTGGGTGTGGGTGGCTTGGCGCGGTGCCCTCGATGGCAGAGGAGACTGCCCGCCTCACAGTTCAGGTTGCGGTAGCGAGCAACAGCTGGTGTGGGGCGGGGGCACATGGACAAGAAGCCAAAGCTGAAGGGGCCCAGGCAGCAGCCAGGGCAGGGTAGCCCCTCGTCGGAATCCCGAGGAGCTGAAGGGGGCGGCGAGGGTTCTGTCCGCTCCAGGGCCGCTGCCCGGGGCAGGCTATGCTGGGCCCGGTTCCAGGGCTCCCCGGCCCAGCCCTGTGGGGAGTTCACCACCACAGCTGGGGGGTTGTTGTTAAGGGGAGGTCCTGATCTGGAGGACCAGGGCTGGGAGGTTGATGAACAAGTGCTGATGAAGTTGTCTGTGGCCACAGCCAGGGGCAGCTGGGGAGCTGGGGGTTCTGGCTCAGGGCTACTGCCCTCACACTCCATTCTCTCTTCCGCCACGGGACCCGCAGAGGGCGGGCCAGGGCCTGGCAGAACTGTCTCCATGCGCCGGGGGAGTTCAGGGGATGATGGTAACGAGCGGCAGCGACGGGCAGGTGTCCCAGGCTGGAGCGGGGTCTCTGGAGTCGTCACCAAGGGCAGCCGGGTGGAGGACAGTGGTGATGGTGGTACAAGGGGCAGGGGGGCGACTGGCTTGCTGGGTGTGTCCAGGAGCTTGATCTTGCCACCCCTGAGGTCTTCCCGCAGTGAGAAGGGGTTGACTCGAGTCAGATTGTCTCCCCAGTTCGGGGGTGATTCTAGTGATGGGGGCAGGAAGAGGTCTGATCGGCTTCGGGAGAGCCGAGGGTCTGGCCTGGGAAGCGTGGCAGAGGGACCCCCTCTTGGGACAGACCCTGTCAACAGAGAAGTCTGAGATGACTCTTCTCAGTACTGATAGCTTCTAGAGCAGGGGTGGGGAACATGTGGCCCGTGGGGAATATAAGGCCCACGAAATCATTTGGTCTGGCCCTGCCAAGCATGAAGGGTGAGTTAATTAAATGTTTGACCGAAACCGGTTTGGCTCAGTGGATAGAGTGCCGGACTGCGGACTGTAAGGTCCCAGGTCCGATTCCGGTCAAGGGCATGTACCAGTAGGGGGTGTGCAAGAGGCAGCTGGTGGATGTTTCTCATCGATGTTTCTAACTCTCTATCCCTCTCTATAAAAAATCAATAAAATATTTAAAAAAAGTAAATGTTTGACCAAATATAGCAGACTAATTTTCAAGACAATAATTTTGCATGGCTGTCGAATGATGTTATAACTATCCAAACGGCCCTTGGCAGAATAATGGTTCCCCACCCTTGTTCTGTGTCTCACTATTCACCGGGAGGCTGGTGGGACTAGAACTTAGAAAAGGGAGCCTGACAGGGTGCTTTGGAAAGGAGACGTCACCTCCAGCTGCCTTTTCCCTTTTTTCCTTCCTTAAAGCTCTAGAATTAGAAAACTATCTTCTTTGAAATGTCCTTTCACCCCCAACCTTAACCCCAGCCTTCTCAACTAATAAATACACTTAGTCTCCCCCAGACAGTACCCTGAGTTCTAAGGAGGGGAGAGGCAAAAGGACTCCAGTTGGGTCCAGGTCGTGCTCACTTACCCTGACTGTGCATCAGGGGAGCCCTGGTGAGGGGGGCTGGCTCAGGCAGTTGCTCCAGGATCCATTCCAGGTGCTGGGTGATTTCGGTGAAGGGAGCACGGGCGCTAGGTTCCATCTGATGGGTAGAGACAGGGGCAGCTCACTCAGTGCTCCGAAAGGGTCCCTGAGTTCCCCATCCATCCCCGGGGACAGGACCGCCCTGTCAGCTGATGGGCGGGCGGAGGCAGGGAGGGCGGCTCTTACACTGCAGCAGTGGATGGCCAGGAGCAGGAAGGGTAGTGGGCAGTCATCCCCTACCAGGGTCCGGAAAGCAGGCACGTCCAGCCCAAAGTCCTGTGGGGACAGAAAGGAAGGGCCTCCAAGTCAACTTCCCTTGGGTTCTCCTTCTCCCCCAACCAGGACCTCAAGGTCCAGGGAACCCTTCTTGGCGGAAAGGTTCCCAGTCTGGAGGTCCTCCTTTCCGAACCTGGAGCCATCACTCACCTCAGTGCGGGGCAGGTAGTCGGGGTCCGCAGGGACTCGTGCGATGAGCTCACAGAGGACAATCCCAAAGGCGAAGACGTCGGCCTGGGGGTAGGAGATAACGTTAGGGGGAGGAGCTGCCAGGTTTCATGTCAGAATTTGGTTAGAATATGTCAGAATTCACCGGGGAGCCTTGACAGTTTCCATGTGTTTGAGGGTGCCTGTGAGGGGCCAGGGGGTGGCTCGGGGGCCTCCTGAGTATCTGGTAGGGTTGCTGGGGAACTTGGGATAGGAACCTATGAGAATATCTCAAGGGTCTCTGAAGACGTGGGGGATCTCAAGGGTTGATATCTCACCTTTTCATCATATAGCTCACCCCTCAACACCTCTGGAGCCATCCAGTACGGGGAGCCCACTACAGCCAATGGCTCCTTCCTTTCCCCTTCCCTGCAGGGCAGAGGCAGAGTGGTCAGAAACATCCCACTCAGACATCTCCCCAAACAAAGAGAGACGAGGCCCCTCTCCCCGCCCCAGGGGAAACCTCCCAGGGGGCTTCACGTAGATAGGGGCCTCCTGGGAGGTTTGGGGGGACACGGGCATGAGCTCACCTGTACACAGGAATCTTTTCAGCCAGCCCGAAGTCACCCACAACAGCTGTGAAGCTTCGGCCTTCCCGACGGATCAGACAGTTCTGACACACACAGACAGAATCTCACACACCTATCACCTTCTGCTCTTCGATCTCCCAATCTAGAACCCAAACCTCCGTCACCCAGAATAACCCCAACCCTCCCCCAGGTCTCCAGTGCACTCCAATCCTGCAACATCACCATCTGTCACTCCAAACACTGCATGGTGCTCAGCCCCTGAGGTTTTGCTACTCTAACATCCTCACACACATATCCACAGTCTAACACCCAGAGGCTAGTTACAACCCAGGAGTCTCAGAACCCCTTCATGCCTCCACCTGCCTGGCCAGCCTACCTTAGATGTGAGGTCTCGGTGGAATACGCCTTTGGCATGCAGGTACTGCAGGCCCTGAGCAATATCCAGAGCCAGGCGGAGCCTGACAGGCCAGGAGAGGGGCTCAGGAGAGCTGAGCAGCTGTTCCAAGGTTCCCCCGTTCATATACTGGGCAGAGTGGGAGGAGAAGGGGCATGGATGTCAAAGTTTCGGTCTGTACTCTAGTCTCCCTCTTATAAGCCAGGGGACACTGGGGAGGATCGGACACTCAGGAGGATCACAAAGGTCAGAAGGGGTGGGCGGGCCTGTGCTCTCGGGTTCCAAATCCACATTCTAGGGCTGTCCTCTCCAACACATGTGCAACTACTTCAACTTAAGGCAGTAAGTTTAAGTAAAATTAAAGACTCAGTTTCTCAGACTAGGCACATTTCCGTGCTCTCACGGTTTTGCCCAGAACAGACACAACATTTTCATCACCGCAGAAAGTTCTATTGACAGCACTGCGGGAGGAGAGGCTGAGGACAGCTGGGGCCTTTGTGGTTTGCCCAAGGGGAAGTTTAGGGAAGACGCCCTGGGAGGAGGTCCTGCTGCCTCTCACTGCTCCTCAGGAGAAGCCCAGGCCACTGATCTCTCTCCCCTTGGGGGCGTGGGGGTCCCCCTTCCGGGCCCGTTCTCACCTCTGTAAGAGCGTGCAGCTGCCCCTGGTGCACACAGACCCCCATGAACCTGTGAGAGGGGAGGAAAGCGGGGAGGGAGGGAGGCTGTAAGACAGTCGGCCTCTCCGCAGTCTCCACTTTTCCGGCGGCGGGATCTTCCCCCTTATCCCAGCAAGCCTCCCAGCAAGCGGCTGGGGCTGCTCACCTCAGGATGTTGGGGTGCTGGAGCTGGTTCATCAGCTGCACCTCCCGTAGCGTGTTCCCCCGGTTGCTGGGCAGCCTGTTCATTTTCAGCACCATCACTTGCCCAGACTGTCGGTGCCGCACCTGGGGGTGTCAGGGGCCCGCGAGTCTCGCGCAGGTGGGACGGGGCGCGCCGTCCGGGCCAGGGCCCTACCTAGCTCCAGCCTCCTCCCGTCCACGGCTCGGTCCCCGCCCCTCCGCCCTCCCGGCCGCTCCTACCTTGTAGACCTCGGAGAAGAAGCCGGCGCCGATCTTCTCGGCGCAGTGGAAATCGTCCACGCGCGCCAGGCTGGACACGGCGCTGCGGAGGGCCCGGTAGGAGGAGGGGCGGCCCCGGCCCGGGCCTCCCCCCGCGCCCGCGCCCGCCGGCCCCTCCCCCGGCGCCTCTCCCGGCCCGGGCCCCGGGCCCCGCCGCGGGGGCCGCTCCCCGGCCATGGCCGGGCCCCCAGCCCGGGCCTGCCTCACATGGCCGGCCCCCTGCGCCCGGGACGAGCCGCGCTGGCCATGGGAGCGGGCCCAGCCGGGGCCGGGGCGCCGGGGCTCCCGCTCCCGCCTCGGAGAATGGAAGATCCGCCGGAGACCCCGGACCCGCCCCCGCCGTGCGGGCTCGCTGGGTCCCGGGGCCGCCGCTCCGCTCTGCGCGGCGCCTGGGCCTGGGCCTGGGCCTGGGCCTGGGCCTGGGCCGGGCGGCGGCGGCGCTCCCGGGCGCCGGCGGGCAGGCGGGCTCCCGGCGGGCGGAGGCGGGCGGCGGCGGCGGCTGCTCGGCGGCGGCACCGCTGGGCTCGGGCTCGCGGCCTGCCGGGGGCGGGGCTGGGCGGCCTCCGCTTAACTCCTTGGAGCCCGGCCCGCGGCGCCGGCCACGCCCCCCCGGGCCGCACCCCCTCCCGCGGCGGGGACCCTCCTGCAGGCGAGGGGTCTGCGGCGTCCGGATGCAAAGGACAAACTCAGGCCGGAGCCGGACCACGGGAGGCAGCCGAGCGCTGGCTGTGCGGACGCGCAGGTCCGATGTCGCAGCTGCCCGGGGAGCGCCGTCCCCGCTCCCACCCGCGGGTCCCTGTCAGCTGGGGGCCGGGCTCGGGAAAACGCTCTCTTCCCGGGCTCCATGGACCCACAGGGCAGAGTAGGGAACCCTCAGGGCCGACCCAAACCGAAGGCGGCCACCCGTCCCCCTGCCTGACCTCCCCCCGTGTCTCCACCCCTACTCCGTGGACCTCTGGACTCCCCGGGGCGTCCTCCCCGCTCGGGCTGCAGGGATGCCCACGGGCTGCGGCGAGCCCTGGGCCGGCCCATCCCCACGGTGGCGCCAACTCCTCCTCACTCCATCCCGGCGCCCTCGAGCAAAGTTCAAATTCCAGAGCCTCCGCCCAGTGACACCCAGGCTGGACCTTCGCACTATTCCGCCCCGAGGACCCCGCTTCTCCAAAAAGCGGCCTTCACCTGCGGGGAAGCCCCGCCTCTCGCGAGACCCTGCCCCCCGGCCAAGCCCCGCCCCCCAGGGGCCCTTCCCCTCTGAGACCGAGACCCCCTGCCCCTGCCGAGGGGCCTTCCCGCAGCATCGCACTGCTGACGTCAGCGCGCACCCGCACTTCTCAGCGGACACCCCTCCTCTGGGTGCACCTCTGGGTGACCCCACCTCTCCCGGTGACTCCCCCGGCCATCGGGCTCCTCCCCTCCGCGGGGCCCAGCCCTCGGCGGTCTGACCTCCTCCCAGGCAGGTTCCGCCCTCCGGCTCGTGAGGGAGCCCGCTCTGCCCCTTCAGGCAGGAGGAGGCGCTGCAGCCGCCGCCTCCATCGCCGCGGGGCCCTACGTGTGCGCGCACCGTTTAGGGACCCCGTGCAACTCGCCGTCCCCTACGCTTCCGGTTCGCTTCCGGCTCCTCCGGCGAAATAGCCAATCATCGCCGGGGGGGCGGGTGACGCCACTGCATGCGGGCGGCGGCTTCCCCGACTAGCGGCGCCGGGCGTGGGTGAGCGCCATCTAGCGGCGGGATGGAGGACGGCGGGAGTGGAGGCCTGGGTGCCCCGGGAGGGAAACCGGCCCGGCGACCTTGAAGGAGCAAGGAGCGCAGGGCTGAATGCTTCTGGAAAAATTCTGAAGTAGTGTTTCTGTTTCTGTGGTAAAGCTGGAAAGATACTTAGAGGTCTGGCCCAGGTATATGAGAGCTGGGACCAAGCCCTCCTTGTTAAGTGCGGATGAGAAAAGAAGCTTTAGGGTCGGGAGAAGGGCCGGGGCTGCACCAGTTTGGAGGAAAGAACCGGAGTGATCACGGTCCTCCGGAGCCAGCGGAGACAGACCAATCCGGAGAAACCTGTGGCTGGACCTTGTGCATCATCACATCCATTCTTCCAGAGGCAGTTTGGTCTCAGCCCAACAAACTCATTCCTCACATTCAATTAATGTTAGCATCTACAACTGTTTAATTTGTAGAGTTGCTCCCTATAGAAGTATGATATGGATACATGCTAGGGATTTATGCCGCATTTAGTTTACATAATATTATAATAGGTACATTGACACGTATCTGACCCTTTATCCAAGTTTGATACTTCTGTGGTGGTGGTATGGGGGCAGGGAGTCTGATTAGGAAGGAGGCTCTGACCGTGACTCAGTCAGGAGACGATAAGGGACTGAACTAGAATAGGGATAATAAATAGGGAAGGGAAGGAGGAAACATCCGTGTCGTCTGGGAAAATTTGCTGATTGATTAGTATCCAAAGTCGGTCCCAGGGAGAGAAATAGCATCAGCCAGGATGACTTTTAAATTTCTGGCTTAGATGTTGGGGAGATATTATCGGGGATAAGACATCCAGGAGGAGGAAAGGTTGAGTAAAGAATGGTAAATGAATTCCATAAACAAAGGGGTGATGGTAAAAGTATGAAGGTGGAGACCATCATCCAAGCAGGGTGTGTAGAAGGAGAAATAGGCAGGCAGTGGAATCCTGGGGAAAACCAGCATTAAAGGACAGTGGAGGGAGAGAAGACCATCAAGGACACTGAGAAGAAAGAAGCTAAAGGATAGGAAGGGAATTTAGAGAGCCTGGCTGGTGCCATGGGATCTAAGGATGGAGCGGGTAGGGAAAATGGGATACAGTAATGAACAGCATTAAATAGTGCAGAGGGGTCTGCTAAGATAAATTTTAAATGTTTCTTGCGTTAGCCTATTCAAAGATCCTTTTGGTGTTTTCCAAACTTTTTATGATTGCAAATGTCAAACATAAGCAGGGAATAGAACAGTGGGCCCTTATTTACCTGGGAGAGTAAGTTCGTTTTGTTGGAGACCCTGGCCTCAGTTGTACAGGTATCTGTCGGAGTAAAAGTACCAGCTTCATGTACCTTTTATCCCAATGATTCTCCAGTGATCAACTCATGGCCAGTTTGTTTCATTTATACTCCTGCTGTCTTCCCCCACCCAGTTATTTGATGCATATTTATGACATTTTATCATTTTATCAATATTTTATCAGTATGTTCTCTAAAACATACTGATAAAATATTGATAAGGATTCTTCTTTAAAACAAAATCATGGCACCATTGTCACACCCGAAAAAATTAAGAAGAACTATACTTTGCAGCTGATATGTCTCTTGAATTTTTTTTTTTTTTAAATATATCTTATTGATTTTTTTACAGAGAAGAAGAGAGAGGGATAGAGAGTTAGAAACAGCTGCCTCTTGCACACTCCCAACTGGGGATTTGCCCACAACAAAGGTACATGCCCTTGCTAGGAATTGAATCTGGGACCTTTCAGTTCTCAGGCTGACGCTCTATCCACTGAGCCAAACCAGTTTCGGCTGTCTCTTGAATTTTTAAAAAATCTTTGTCTATTCTCCATCTTTTCTCCCTTATTATTTAATTAATTTGTTAAGAAACCAGGTCATTTATCCTGTAAAGTTTCTCAAAGTCTGAATTTTGCTGAGCTTCTACTGGTGTAATTTAGTATGTTCCTCAGCTCTGAATTTTTGGTAAATTGTTAGAGGCTTAATCAGATTTAGATTTGATTATTTTAGTAAAACTAATTTATAGGTGGCTTTAGTTCATTTACAAGGAGGCATACAGTGGTGGTCTTTTTGTGATATTAGTAATTAATGACGATCATTGTCCAGACTAGCATTGCTCAAACTTAGCACTGTTGACATTTGGGCCGGATAGCTCTTTATCGTAGGAAGTTGTTCTATGCATTGTAGGATATTTAGTGGCATCTCTGGCCTCTCTCTACCCACTGGATGCCAGTAGCAACTCTCCCAATTGTAATAACCAAAAATGCTTCTAGACAATTGTCCAGTTCCCCTAAGTGAGATAAATGTCCTTGATTGAGAACCACTGGTCTAGGTTCATTAATATAGGATTTAGAACGTAATATTTTCATTCGAGCCTTCCTTCTTTGCTAGGTAGAACAAATACATCTACAAAGAAAAACTTTCACACAGTAACTGTTTGTTCCCTAGAGCTACATTTCATGAAGGAAAGACAGAAAAATGCTGCTTTGTTTCCCTTTTATTTTACCAGCTTTTAAATTAATGAGTTGGTTACCTAGCATCTTCCAAAGGAACCAGAGATATTTTTTAGTACTATTATGACTCATAATTTAACACATACACGATGTGTCTCAACCACTGGCAGTTTTAAACATTTTGATACTGAAATTGACCTATTTTGGCCAGTGGGAACTTGTTCAGATTGGCACTTGAGAGTCCTTTGGATATGACCTTTTAAGGTTCCTTGCTCCTTGTTAGGATAAAATTTTCCAGGCTCACTTTGTGCGTTCCCAGACTAGAGCTGGTATCAGTGATTTTTTTCCAATGATTCATGGTTCCTTTTAATTGGAAATGGTATTTAGAGAACACATGCTGGGCACTAGGGATGTAGGTTATTTGACCTTAGGAAGAGCAGTTAAATGGATATATAGTCAATTACCTGTTCTCAAAACAGCCGCCTGCACCACCTCTTTATTAAAAAAAAGTTTCAAACTTGCAAAAAAGTTGAAGGAATCACAATGAACTACTGTATACTCTCACCTAGATTCAACATTTATTAGGTCTAGTAATAATTAATGTCGTTTCTAATACTTTTTTAAATCGAATTTATTTAAACAATACAACAAAATTTAATCAACAATATAGTTGCCGTTGTTTTCTACTACTTGTGCCCAACGCTCAGGAAGCATTTTAATCCCTCTGTTGTAAAATTCTTGTGATTTTGATGCAAAAAATTCGGTCAATGCATTTTTGAGGCATTCTTCATTATTAAATTTTTTTCCAAGAAGAAAGTTTTGCAAAGGACGAAACAAATGGTAATCGGAAGGGGCAATATCAGGAGAATATGCAGGTTGAGGGAGAACTTCCCATTCCAACTGGCGCAGTTTTTCAGCAGTGATTCTTGCAGTATGTGGTCGTGCGTTATCGTGGTGAAGAATTACGCCCTTCCGATTAATCAGCGCGGGTTCTTTTTCTCTTAAAGCTTGGGCTAACCTTTCCAATTGGGCACTATACACTGCACTTGTAATGGTTTGGGTAGATGGTAAAAGCTCATAATGAAGAATTCCTTTAAAATTCACCAAACACACAACATCACTTTTTTCGCATGCAAGTCAGGTTTTGGTGTGGGCTGCGGGGCCTCATTTTTGTCCAATCATTGAGGCCGCCTTTTCAAATTAACATACAGCACCCATTCTTCATTTCCGGTAACAATTTGCTCTAAAAACGGCAAACGGTTTTGACGAGAGAGGAGCGAACTGCAAATTGTGACTCTTTGATTACGGTTGTTGTCGGTCAACTCATGAGGAACCCATTTTCCAAACTTTTGGACTTTGCCAAGTGCACGCTATTGATTGGAAATTATTTTTTGTGAACAATTTAAAGTTGTCGCAAGCTCTTGTTGGGTAATAATTAATGTCGTTTCTAATACTTTTTTAAATCGAATTTATTTAAACAATACAACAAAATTTAATCAACAATATAGTTGCCGTTGTTTTCTACTACTTGTGCCCAACGCTCAGGAAGCATTTTAATCCCTCTGTTGTAAAATTCTTGTGATTTTGATGCAAAAAATTCGGTCAATGCATTTTTGAGGCATTCTTCATTATTAAATTTTTTTCCAAGAAGAAAGTTTTGCAAAGGACGAAACAAATGGTAATCGGAAGGGGCAATATCAGGAGAATATGCAGGTTGAGGATTTTGCACCAAAAGAGCTTGAAGAGCTTCTTGATCAAAATTGGACACACGGCCTCGACCACTCTTGTCATCTAACGAAAAATTTCCCTCGCGAAATTTCTCAAACCAATGCTGGCATTTTCTGGCGCTAACTGCATCTTGACCAAGAGCATTACAGATGTTTTTTGCAGCCTCACTTGCTTTTCTTCCTAATTGGAACTCGTAAAGCATGCAGTGCCGAATATGCTCTTCATCTGCCATCTTCTTAGCCCTAGTTTTGCAACAAAAACCAAACCAAACACAAATTTTTTCAAGCAAAACTTG